GGGAGGAGGAGGGAGGGAGGGGCCGTGGGCCGGGGGGGGAGGAGGGAGGAGGAGGGAGGGAGGGAGGGCGTGGCGGAGGGAGTGGTACGGGGAGAAAGTTGGAGGTGGAGGAGGCAAGCGGGCGGGAAGGGAATTGGACTCAGAAAGAAACGACGGAACGCGACCGGCTGGTGGTGCGGCGCTGAGCTTTCTTTGATACTTCTTTGCCGGCCAGTCTCTTCATCTGTGACAAAAGAGGATGCTTTTCGTGGCCGTGTCATGCGTTTCGTTCCCTGTGCAGCATCCCTCGCCTTGACACACGCTGTTTATCACCCTCCTCCTTCACTTTTCTCTCCTAAGTATCCACCGATCCCCCCTCCTTTCCTGGAGAAATAGACGGCATTCATGTACTCTAATATTCCAGGGTCCTTAAGGAAATTGGTTCCGAATGCATTGATGCAAGGGGATGGCCATCTTCTCCACAATGTCCTACGGAGTCTTGCGACTATAAGTTCAGCATTTTATGTGATATAACAACAATGCCAGCTTTGATTGTATTGAAATGAACAGCAAGAAAGCGGAAAGAACAAAGAAGAATGAGGCGCGCGAAGAATCGCCGAAGAAGTCACGAAGCGTTTCGCACTCTTTCAACCGCGTTTTGGACGAAATAAGGGCCAGGACCAACAAATAGACAGGTTCCACCTACCCTCAAGACAACGTCATCCTTCTACGGCATCGGGAATTTGATTTCGGCCGTTGACACGGTTGTCTTCGATCCCATGCCTCAGCAGCAGCTTGATGCCTTCTACCGAGACGAGGTCGACATCATCTTCAACCTCGAGCGCACGCAGTATCGCAACAGCTGGCCCCTCGGGACGGAAGGCTTGTTGATGGGGCTGGTCCTGTTCACGACGGACGCCTACAATCTGAACAAGCGGAACGGGTTCAACTTCGGGACCGAAGTCACCATTGTGACGGAGGGGCGGGAGAATCTCACTGTGGAGGCCATCCATCGGTACACGTTGAACCGTCACCTGCTCCTGGAGCATAGCATGCGGGGTCAGGACCGGGCGTGGGAGCTCTTTGGGCACGACGAACAGATGGGGTAATCCTGTCAGAGGTTGGCCGCCGGATGAATGTTTCCCATTCACTAGTGTATGGTCCCTTTTGAGACCCGGGAAAATGAGCGGAGAGTGAGTAGGTGCTACATAAAGAGACGGAATAGTGTAAGCCTTGGGCAGGTAGTATTTCTCGATCAACGACGCAGAGTCGGCTACAGAGCACGACGCGGACTGTAAACTGTGTGGTCGTAAATGTCATAATATATTCAGATGACGAAGGAAACTTGAATTTATTGATGTGTACAATCTTGACATTTTTATTTTCAAGGTATGACTCCTTGTTTATCTAATTCTCGTGGAGTTGGTCATACATGCAAAGCAGCTTCTCTCTTTGGGCCAGCGGAATGGGATTGTCTTGACAAGGAGGCAAGGCACCGCCGCAAAATAGACATTGATGCAGGGTATCTTGTTGAGGGGCGAGGATGGGCAGAGGCCAATCTTGGGACCTCCCAAAGCAAGGCAAATGACCCCACGGATCGCGGAGAGCCAGGTCTCGTGCCTTTTGCCTTCGTTTGCATCGACAGTCTATGTGCTTTAAAAAACAAATTGGAAGATGTGTGGAATCATAAAAGATAAAATATGCCTTGACGATCTTGGAGCTTTAGTTTTTGGGGAGTTGATCGAACATGCGAAGCAGCTCCTCTCTTGATATCCCAAGATGGAATGGCAAGCAGAGACTGCTATCGTAAAGTTTCCAAGCACGGGGAGCTGCAGTTCTATCGATAAGAGGACAGTAATAATGCTTTGCCTCAGTTCCATGGGAATTTAGCTGCCGACAAGTGGCTTCACCAGGTTGATTGTTCAAATCCACGAACAGGCAACTCAGGATGGTCGGGTAGCGCACCTGAAATGGCATTTGGTATCCTTTTTTCCCGAGCTCCTCAGCCGAAAAACGGGTAAGAGCATTGAGCTTATCTTCCCACTTTTCAGAAACGATTTGATCAATGTGATCACAAATTGCCGCAGCAGCGAAATCGGACATTCTCCAATTGCTCGAATAACGGTTTGGAATACGAACCTGATTGGGTATATCATATCCAAAATTCATCGCTTGATGAACAAAAGGGGCAACGTCTTTCCCTGTAAATATGGCCCCTCCCTCGCCGCGGCCAAATGGTTTTGTCTCGTGAAAGCTGATAAAGGCACCATCTCCAACATCATGAATGCAACGGCCATCTTCGACAAATCCCAAAGGAGTGGCGGCATTGTCGAAAATTAGGAGTTTGTCATTCTGGATGCACCATTTCTCATACGCGAGAATCTCCGTCTGATATCCAAAGCAATTTGTGACGATAACTCCATCAAATTCTGCTTTTCTCTCATTGAGAAATTGAATGCAGGGCCCGTGTAGATTGGCGTCAATGTCACATACAAAGGCATCTGATAGTGGTCCCTGGATTGAGGAAGGAAAGGTAAAGGCCTGTGTCACCCATCTTAGGTGTCGTCCCTTTCGTAATTCAAGTCCCGCCGCGAGTGCATGGAGTGCTGAAGTTCCATTTGAAGACAGTAATACATTGCGATTGGATCGAACTAAATTCTTGACCTTGGCATGTAAAACGGATTGCAGCGGTCCATCGTTAGAGAGATGTCCCTTCACAAGACTGCGATGCAGATACTGAGCATATCTGTCCATAGAAAACAATTTTTTCACACACCATCGAATTCGGTGCCCATCATCGCTGACAATCGTTCTGGAAATGGGCCTGGCGGGTACGCCACCCCAGAATCCATAAAGTGGTCCGTCAATGTCTCGCACCACAGCAGCACCCATTCCGACAGTGGCTCCGGACATTACGGTACGATTCTCTCGTACTGCTGCATTTGCGCCAAGCGTGGCCAAACTTTCCATAATAACACTTCCCAAGAGCATAGCACCTGGATTGAGAGTCGCATAGTCTCCCAACCGACAATCGTGCTCGACAATCGCAGCCGAATTGATGAGGCAAAAGTTACCAACGATTGCGTTGGTATTCACCAAGGCTTGAGGTCCGATGAAGCAACCGATTCCAATCTGAGCAGTGTCTGTAATGACAGCTGTCTTGTGTATGACTGTTGGAAAAAAGACTGATGGAAGCGACGCGTTCTCAACACTTTCGACAAGCTTTTTGCGAACACTTGGGGATCCCACTGCAACGAAGCAATCAATCGAAGAAAGGCTATGGCCATTATTTGTGTCAATGTTGTACATGATTGAATCGAATCTTGGGAGACCCCGTAGGAGGGGGTGCAGGTCGGCATCGTTCTTGGAATCATCCCACACTCTCACGTCCTCATATGCACTAGCAATTTGCTCCCAAACCACAGCTGCATGACGGCCGCCACCGCGAAGGACTGCCACTCTTGAAGTAGGCCGTGGGATTATCAAACTTGTAGCGTTATTCTTTGACATGACGATGACGATGCGATGATGTCCTATCTCCACAAGATGAGCAATTCCGGAACTATAAGCTACCTGGGCACCTAAATAAATTAATATATTAGGATTAGGATTTCATCGCTATATTTTTTTAACATGATTATAGTCGAAAATTTTGCTGCATATTTAGGTAGATCTGCTTTGAGAGCATAGTTAGGAACAGCGCCGAGACGATATTTGGTTGGCAGAACGACAGGTAACGCTGCGCAATCATCGAAGATGACGGCTTGTTCAGAGCGGCATGGCGCCATCGTCCCGCGAAGACGCCAGTGGCCTGATAGCGGCATGTACCCCGTGACGCGGGGCGGCCGGGCCGTCATCTCATCTAGTATTTAGTTATTAATGAGAACAATCGATGGACCGGTGGTCAGTCATGACTCAGGCATGAGACCTGCACCCGCTCCGCAAGAAAGGGCGTGTCCAAACTGAGGGGGTTCATAAGGGGGGCCACGGCGAGAGGGGAGAACTATGGGCGCTCCCTCGTGGGCATTGGGGGTAGGCCCTAGGCAAAAACGCTTTTTTCGATCGCCTATTGCAGGCCCGCAAATTCAGTCGGGTCCCCTTTTCTAGCTCAAGCGTCATTCATAAATGAAATTTCACAAATGATCGGTGACCCTCGTGAATGACCCCTAAATATGGTGACTCCTCCGCGGGGCGAGCTTATCTTGGTGCCCATAGTGTGATAGCGGTATGTGTCACCACGCCAGTGACCAGCACCCATTATGGTGACTAAACATGAAAACTAACAAAAAAGAAATAAATTAAAAAAATTCCTTGTGTGCTCCGTACAAAGCTCTCTAGGAGATGGTAAAGAGTGGCTCGTCAATCTCTGTATGATAAAGTTGATACACAAGTGAATTGTGAATTTGCTTTCAATTTTTGGAGGCTATTCGAGAAAGATGATAATTTAAGATAAGATAATAATACAATATAGAGAGACACCAATTTGCGAGCAATTGCACTCCATAATGACATTATGTTCCTTTTTTGAATAACCATGTTCTAGGCATGATGAAGTGACTAACAATATGAAGTGCGACACCTGTCGAGAAGCCATAGTCTTCGAGACCATTTAAATTGCACAGGCTATATCATCGTCTAATCGAAAGGAGTCCAATCACAAATTTCATACAGGGTCTTAAGAGGAAGCTGACATCGTTAAACCTCTATCCTGTCCTTGGCGTCATCTCTTATTTGAAGCAAGAGAGATGCCCTTCTCATTTGAAGTGTTGCTCTTGACTATTTTGGTCCTTCAGAACACCTTGACGGCGTTGCTGGGTCATTTCACGCGCCAAGCCGTCGACAAGGACAACTTATATGACATTGGTGAGTTCATTCTGGTCAGCGAGCTCATGAAGCTCGTGACAAGCGTCCTTCTTGAACTCGCAGCAAGTTTTCGAATACAAACACTACCCCGCGCTATTACCCAAAAGGGCTTAGAGATTTTCAAGCAACGGCTTTACGGTCGTCCTCATGATCTCCTCAGGATATCGGTTCCTGCCGTATTCTACTGGGCGTCCAACACGTTATTGTACGTGGCCATTTCCAATCTCTCCGTCCCGATATTCCAACTTATGGCTCAAACCAAGCTTGTAGTCACGGCAGTCGTGAGCGTCCTGGTTTTGGGGCGTCATTACTCGTATCGGCAATGGGCGTGTCTGGTCATCATTTCCATTAGCGTAGCCCTCGTCACACTCGAGGAAAAGAAAGCCATCGATACTCCAACAACAAGTAATGCCCACATATTCTTCGCGGAAAGCAACGAGCCATTAATCATCGGTCTCGTTGCCGTGACTCTTTCCTGCCTGATGAGTGCTTTCGCGGGAGTCTATTTCGAAAAAATTCTCAAGACAGAAATCGAAGGTTCGCCAACCATTTGGATGCGTAACATTCAATTGGCCTTCTGCTCCATTGTCATCATCCTTCTGCAAATGGTTGGTAGAGGTAATTTCTTTTCCCAGAACAGTGAAGAATCAGGCGCAAATTTGCCTTTTTTACACGGATTTACCCCTATGGTGTGGTGTCAAGTTCTACTCTTCTCTGGCGGGGGTCTTCTCGTATCTGCTGTCATCAAGTACGCTGACAATGTATTGAAGGGAGTTGCCATTGGTATCAGCGTGCTGCTCTCAACGGTGGCGAGTATGTTTTTGTTCGGGACGTCCATCACCCCACTGTTCATTGTGTGCGCGTTTGCTACCGTTGCTGCTGTCTACTTCTTTTCCAATCAGCTCCCACGGTGCCTCACAGAGCCACATCGTTCTTCCTACTTCTCTCTGATCTGCGTCATGGTAGTGCTCTATCGCGTGTTAACAATGGAGAGGCCAGATGCTTTTCAAGGGACTCTGAAGCCCTTGCCCGTGGAGACTGACTTGTTTCCGTCAGATTGGAATTCAACGGAAACGGCCCTTTCTGCGTTGAGATCTATTCAGGAGAGAATTCAGGAGCGAAACTTTCATGAGGCAACGGCCATTTTGTACGACTTGCGATCTCACCTGGGAGAACGTCCAGCAAAGTACCTTGAAATTGGCAGCTATACCGGAATTTCATCCTCCCTCATTTTGAGTCATCCTTTCCCGACGTATGCAACTCTCGTTGACCCTTGTGTCCTTTCGACTGAACATTTCGGGGGCACTTTGGATCAAGAGTCTACTCTTCGGAAAAATCTTGCCTCCATAGTGCCCAGTTCACTATGTAAACTGACTAGGCCCTGGGATCTTCATGTCGGTTTCTCGCCGGTAGCTCTCCCTGTTGGAGAAACATTCGATATTATCTTCATCGACGGAGATCATTCAGCAAAAGGTGTCTGGGCTGACTATAATAATACAGTCGATCTTTTACGCCCAGGAGGTTTTATGGTGTTTGACGATTATTTGGATTGGCAGTATAGCGGAGCAATGAGAGGGGCAGTGGACAACATTGCAAAAATTACTGATCTCATCCCAATTGGGAGTCCACCGAACATCCATGGTATTCACCCCCAAGTCAATGCTTCTTTCATCAACGAGTTTATTTTCCAGAAACCGGGAAAGTTCAGTTTCTCTCCCCTACTCACTCCTGGTTTGAAGCGCTCCACGCCAGTGCTGTGTGTAACAGTCGCAACTTACCGACGCCGCGATGGATCCACTCCGCCTCTATTGGAGCGACTCTGGAAGATGCTTCAGCAGCAGTCTTACCGTAATTGGAAGCTTTACATGACAGCTGATCATTACGATGATGAAATTGAGTGGAAGTCACTATCTTTCTTTGACGATTCTCGCGTTCAGATGTACAATCTCCCAGAGCCTGGGGAGCGTGGAAAACTCACTGGAACTGAACTTTGGTATAATGCTGGTGCTACTGCTATGAATAATGCAATTGATCGTGCTCTTGGCGATGGATTTGAATGGATCGTTCATTTGGATGATGACGATGAGTGGGACACTGATCATCTTCAAAATATACTTAACGGCATCCGGACAGGAGCGACGTTTGTCACGACATGGTGTCAGTATAGTTCGAATGTAGTATTGCCACAGTTGCACGACATTCTCACAGGTATGACCCATACTGTTCCCCCCAAACAATGCGGTACTGCTCATTCGTCTATTGCATTCAATGCAGCCAAAATCCTGACGCGGTACAAGAGAATTCCAGGCCAGCCCGCCGATGCTGCTATGTGGGCACGCATCGTGTACGATGAAGGCTTCTATCCCGTATTTGTACCAGTCCAGTCCTGTTATTATCTCAAAGGCGAGAACGGCGAACGTGTAGAGAGGATTGTGCGGAAAAGCCTTCTTCGTGAGATCGATTTGCCCGATGGTTGGCACGGTGCAGGAAGCGGCCGTTCGTATCATACTTTGGCAACAAATGAATTTCCATCCACTCTGAGCCCGCACTGTCAATATGTCATAGGCCCAGAGCCGACCACAAAAGGTCAACCTAGCTTTCGAAGGCTGGGGCTTGATGAGATTCCTTACCACATCTCGGTTGTCAAGGAGTTTGCTAATTTGCCTGTCTGGGCAAAAAATAACACCACATAGGAAGCTCAGAATTAGATAGAGCTCATTTTTTTCTTCTGGGTGTTTTACATTGCCAGTCACCCCGCGATTATTTCAGTAGCAGTGCGTTGTTGAATACTTCACTCGCTTCACGACCCAATCATGACGGTCTCTTCCTATAGTCAAGTCATCAGTTAGAGAAACAGGGCAGAAAATGAAGGAGAAAAGTGTTCGACTCCCACAAACAAACTGCACTTCGCAGGCACTCAAAACACAAAACACAAAAATGACAGGATATTCCCATCCAGTCATATCGGCAGCTTGTAGCACATGATTTACAGTATCTTTGGTTATAATAGTGTAGAGAACGAGCAGCTTCGTGTGCAGGAGCCTAAATTGACGTCAGATTTCGGTAGATAGTTCGGGTTTCAAAACCATTGATAAAACTGGGATAGGGTCGGACATTCTCCAATTGCTTGAATAACGGTTTGGAATACGAACCTGATTGGGTATATCATATCCAAAATTCATCGCTTGATGAACAAAAGGGGCAACTTCTTTCCCTGTAAATAGGGTTAGGGTTAGGGTTAGGAGTTAGGTAGTTAGGGTTAGGGTTAGGGTTAGGGTTAGGGTTAGGGTTAGGGTTAGGGTTAGGGTTAGGGTTAGGGTTAGGGTTAGGGTTAGGGTTAGGGTTAGGGTTAGGGTTAGGGTTAGGGTTAGGGTTAGGGTTAGGGTTAGGGTTAGGGTTAGGGTTAGGGTTAGGGTTAGGGTTAGGGTTAGGGTTAGGGTTAGGGTTAGGGTTAGGGTTAGGGTTAGGGTTAGGGTTAGGGTTAG